AATCAATGAATTGTTGTTTGAACTGATGACGGTAATTACAATTAACCAAATATGTATATATTTATAAAAAGTCATACAGTAGTTACGAAAACAGGGTTCTTGGGAGGAAAGGAAAGAAATGACTCAAGCCAAACATAACGTGTAAACAATGAAATAGTTGAAATCTAAAATGAAATGGAAAAGAATAAAGCAAATGGAATGAGGAGGTAATTGAGAACAAATCTTGGTTGACATTTAATAATTAAACATTAATATTATAAAACACAAAATAAAATAAAAAAATTAATCATAAAATTAACCTGTTTTTTATTTTGATTGGAAATCATCTTTTCTCTCACTGTTTTAATCATCTTTTCTTTTAATTCTGTTCCGGCTTTTGCTTTTAATGTAAAGCTCATAAATGTTTATAGCATTCCGCGCTATACAAAAATAAATTTATTATAATCATTATTATTATTGTTATTATTATTATTATTATTATTATTATTATTATTATTATTATTATTATTATTAAATATGAGACCTTATAGGACTTGTTTTTGTTTAAAATTATAAAAAAAAAAAGAAACAAAAAGAACTCAGACTCTTGTCGCCGAAGTTAGTTTTGCACTGTTTTGTTCCATTCACTTTGTTTTGTCAACAGCATTTGCACTTAATTTTAACACGTTCTCTATTGTGTGTTTCTATTTTATTCGTTGACACACAGTGTTCCTATGAAATGGAATGTTAGGACCAGCAACATTCGCCCTATAAAACAACAGAGTTCATTATGACCTGCAGATCAACGTCATTAAATATTTTCCTACGAGAAAAGCTCATCTTTTCTGTTCTTATGTACTTTTTACAATTAGACGTTCCCAACCTCCTGAAAAAGGAGGGGGCTTACCAAATTTGGCAGTTTAGCCGATTTCAACCTCACATTATATATCATTTGTTATTTTAATTTTTATATCTCTTTGCATTTTTAAGAGAAATAAACGAAAGAAAAATGTGGTCCTGAATAGAAATTGAACATAAAAGCAGTTGATTTAAAAACGATAGCATTATTCACAAAAACCGCAATATACAAATTATAAAGTAGTTACCGTATGTTGTAATGTGGAAAACCTCATACGTTGGATTTGTCACGCCTGTATCCAGTAAGCCTACTTTCACAGGAATTACTGTTGATAATAAATTTTAACTGAATTAGTTCGTATAAAACGTAATGCAACTGATATTCTTTAATCCAATGAAAATTCTACAGAATTGAAGAACAATACAATCTGAGATTATAAACCCTAGCCATGTTGCACAATATTTATGCACTGAAAAAAATAATGGCCCGCTGTCAATACGCCCCATCCGCCAAACGGGGCCTATCAGAATACTAATAGGCTTGCGTGGCAAGCCCATCAATCAGGCAAGTTTGCACGCGCTACGGACCGCTTTTAAAGCGCCGGCCAGAATTTGGCACATGGTCCATCCAGTCAAGTCGACCCGCGGTAGATCCGCTTGGGTCTGCTTGGCCTAGCCAAACGATGAGGTCAAACGATCCGCTCGAGTTGGCTCTGTCAGTTGCGGCCGAAAAATTTATAAATAACGTTCTAAAATCTGTCTTTGGCTTCCGATCAGCACAAAATTCAAGGAAAACCG